CCCCAGCCCGTCCCCCCCCTCCCCCCCCCCCCCCAGCAACCTCTGTCCATGGGAAGCTTAGAGCACTGAGGACAGGGGCTGCTGCTACCCCACTCTGCATCACTATATTGCTAGTCAAACCTATCTTAGCTCAGACACTCTGGCCTCTGGAAACTGGCTTCACCTTAGTTCAACGCCAGGTTTCTTCTCCTTCAGGGAGTGTCTGTCTTTAAATCTGTTCAAAGTCCTTTGTCTCTTGAGCAGGCTTAAACTAGTCTGGACAGCACTGAGGACAGGGGCTGCTGCTACCCCACTCTGCATCACTATATTGCTAGTCAAACCTATCTTAGCTCAGACACTCTGGCCTCTGGAAACTGGCTTCACCTTAGTTCAACGCCAGGTTTCTTCTCCTTCAGGGAGTGTCTGTCTTTAAATCTGTTCAAAGTCCTTTGTCTCTTGAGCAGGCTTAAACTAGTCTGGACAGCTCAGCTGGGAATCAGATTGACTTCAAAGCAGTTGGCTCTGTATCACCTGTTTGCTGGGAGATGTGCCCATCCCTTGCCTGGGTGCATATCCTAACAACCCTGCTAGAGAATTCTCAGTGTAGGTGTTGCGTTAACAATACAATAACTGGTCAGGGTACATTAGCCACAAATTATTACAGATCAACTCCATGGTCTTCACACGTGGCTTTTGACTTAAAGGATACCAATTTCTATATAGCCAGCCAGTTGACACACTGCAGCTATGTGAGTGAGTTTCTTTATGGGACAGAGACATCACCAGTACAAAGTTTTTCCCTTTTAATCTGTTCATGGCCCCTTTCCATTCACTCTGGATTAGTACATGTATTGATTGAGCTTTGCTACAATCTGGCCAAGATGTTATTACTTCCTGGCCTAAAGCCCATTCTACCAGGTCCAGTGAAACTTTTCTGGCATGTTTTACGCCCGTATCCATAATGGAAATTCACTTGAATTCCAAATTCAAAGCAGTCACTTGAAGTTCAGTGTAAATTTTCATCAAGCACTATTCTTTAGAATCAGCATTGTGCTCTGGTTTTTTATTTATTTATTTATTTATTTATTTATTGAAAACTGTGCTACAATCCATATTTTGTTGAGAATAACTACCTTCCAGATGGTAGACTGCTCACTAATCTTCTCTCAAGTAGAAATTCATAGAAAACCTCAGAACAAAGAAAGGTTGGTATACAAAGTTTAATGTTTACTGGACTTTGAGGGAGTTTGTTCTTGAGAGGAGGAAATGTGGGAACTTTCTATACTTAGAAGAATATGTATTAAATATGTGAATTACATATGTATATAAAATCTTTAATTCTATCTTTCACTGCTTGAAAAATGTTGTAGCACGGTCTAATATACATGTAAATTATACTTATTGCTGATTTTTGCATGTTCATTACCTATTTTTTTCTGATATGCTATACAACTTAATAGTTCTTTCTAAAGAATTCCCATTACTGTTGTTTTAAAAATGTATCGGTCTGAAAACTCTTGTCCGTAGGTACAGGCATCTCCAAAAATGACTAACGTGAAGATTAGACAAATGTGGTGTAGAAATTGGGGAAAAACCCCCCACAAAACTAGGACTATGACAGCAAAGTAGTTTTATTAATGACATTGTTTTGTATTGTCTAGGTGATCGTTTCAGGTCAGTAATAGATGATGCCTGGTGGTTTGGAACAATTGAAAGCCAGGAACCTCTTCAGCCTCAATATCCTGATAGTTTATTTCAGTGCTACAATGTCTGGTTAGTAAATTTGTCCTTACTTCTGCTTTTAATAAGTCATTTTAATGTAAATGTTTAATCTTGCGTAGCAAGCCCTAGTTTGTGATTTTGTACCTTTAATTGCAATAATAAAACTCCTTATAAAGTGCATTAATTATGTTTATTTTATAACATTGCATATGGAGAGATTTAAGAGCAGGTTAGATAGACATCTATCAGGGATGGTCTTAGACTGTGCTTGATCCAGCCATTAGGGCAGGGGACTGGACTCGATGACCTCTCGAGGTCACGTCCAGTTCTAGTGTTCTATGATTCTGTGATATAAGTATGATATATTTTAGCTGCTCAAGCAGTACTAATTACTGTAATTTAAACACAGTTAATTTTTTTTCTTTAAGCTGGGACAATGGTGACACTGAGAAGATGAGTCCTTGGGATATGGAGCTCATACCCAATAATGGTTCGTATCGCTATAAATGGGTTATCTTGAATTATAGGTATAGAAAAGAAGCTGCACATCTTATGCAAATCGTTTTAAAAAATTAAGTATACTGGGCATCTTTCTCTGTAAAATGCCAGGAAAAAGAAACAAATAAGAATCATGAAAATAATTGCAATATAAATTTGTTCTTAAAGTACTAAATTACAATGCATATTATTAAAATGAGCATGACCTGTGACTAAAGTAAATGGATATATAATGTTGATATCATTAATGGAAAAAAGTCTAAGAGTTTGCTAATGAGTAGGAGCATAGGATTCTGTAATCTCACTGTTCTCCATTCAGGAAAGCAATGTTTTGGCATTATTTTTTCTGTGGACACATCAAAATTACTCAAGAATTCAACAGATGGCATTTAAATATCCCGGGCTTCATTTGCAAGTTCGAATTACTACATTAGCCACGCTAGTTCGAATTAGGGTGGCAGTGTAGACATACCCTAAGATAGTGTTTCTCAATCTTTTTCAGTAAAGTACCCCATTTTCAAAAAAATATATAAGTACTCCCTTTAAAAAAAAAAAAAAAAGTACCCCCAGTACCTACAGTTTTCAGACACACACAAATTTTTCTACCATTGCAACACATTTGTTTAAACAACTTAATCATAGCCGGGTGGGCGATGAAATTTTGGGGTGTAAAAAGTACAAAAATAATGAAGCTCTCTAAAACTTAAAACAAAAGTTCAGTTTTCTCCAAATTTCTGTTGTGTTGATGTACGCCCCCCCCCCCCCCCCTCCCCCCCGACTTCTCTTGAGTATCCCTAAGGGTACTCGTACCACTGGTTGAGAAACACTGCTCTAAGACATAATTACAAGTACAGTAAAACACAAGATAAAATCAGCACTTCTCTAACACTAAAATCTAAAATATACATTCAACTACAAATCCTAACATACCAAGAATCTGCTGCTACACCTGCAAATACTTACCCCTTGTTGCACTTTCCCTGCCCAAAAGTCCAGATATAAAGATGAAGCTTTCAGTATGTCCTGAATATCAGCAGATTCTGGCTTATTTTGATCCAATTGGGGTATTAATTCCAAAGTTGAATGCCCTGATGGTAGCCTCTCTTTTATGTCTCATGCTTCAGTTAAAGAACCTCCACTTACACAGCAGTAGAAGAAGGAGAATGGCAGTTTTCAAAATAAGCCGGTCTCAAGAGCTATAAAAGTTAAAGCTGCTATTTTTAAACTCTACCTGAAAACCTATGAAGCACCACTACAGTTTCCAAGCATAACTTAATTAGTAATAATTTTATAAAAATATTTCACGTACTGCAGAACTGCTCTTGTTTGTTGTAAAAAATACATTCTTCTGTGAACTGACAATGCTGCGAGTCTAGGAAATAGAAAATCTACAAAATTCTTACAGAATTCATCAAAGCTGCATTGTGTGAAACACATTTGTTATCTGGTAATAATATACATGAAGCATGTAAGACCCCAGAATAGTATCTAAACATTATCTTTTGCACAAAGAACTTACACATCTTATGCTTTTGTTCAATAAAACCATGATATTCTATATACTGCCTATATTAATTGCTCTGTTTTTAATAGAAGTATGTCTGTCTTAAAATACAAACAGATGAATATTTTGCAGTGATCATCTGGGTCTTTTTTATGGGATATTTCAGCTGTGTTCCCCGAAGAACTGGGAACTAGTGTTCCTTTAACTGATGTTGAATGCCGAACATTGATCTACAAACCTCTTGATGGAGAATGGGGTTCCAGAACCCGAGATGAGGAATGTGACAGAATTATTACGGGGATAAATCAGCTCATGACTCTAGGTAAACATTTGTGATTGAATAATTTAAGAAGAGTTCAGTATGCAAGCTAACTTTCATGGGAACTTTTATGAGAACACCACCATCCACAAAATTAGTAAATGATAACGTTGATCAACTGCAATTATCATAAAATCACTATTTGAATTATTATACCTTATGAAAAAAATACTTTGTTCACAACATGATATATCTATATAGCGCTTTAAATACACAATCTGATCTGAACTTTCAAAGGTGCTATGTGATTTTGAGTGTTTTAGTTTTTGAACATGTAATGTTGTTATGCTTATAAGAAGCACACAGGATCTTTTTCAGGAGGATACAGCAACAAGCCGCACTTATTGACAATATAACAGTCACACACACACACCCATGGAATAGTTTCCAGTCTGTTGCTCAGCTCAACCTATTGGCCAGATAGGTCAGGTGTGAGGAAGGAGACGGGTTCATGTCAGTCTGGGCTGATGCCCCTCCTGGTCTTGATCTTAACCAGTACAGAACCCAAAGAACCTTATAACACACCCCATCTTTTATAGGATTTTCCTTGCATGCAAATCTATGCATTTTGCCTCGTCAGGACTTCATCAGTCATTCAGTATCACAATCAATCTCCCTACGACGTGCTTATTGGGAAGAAGTTGTTGTCAGAGGTGTTGTCTTTCCGGTGAAAGTAGTGATTGGTTCCCTATCAAGGGGTGTTTGCCTCTAGCTTCAGGGTTCGTCAATCTGCCCGGATAGTCTGCATCTTCTGAGTCCTTTCACTTAGTTGATAATTATTTGGTGAGTCCTCAGCCCCTCCTCTGACCATTTGAGCGTGTAGTGGCCTTCACACTTATCTCTCCTAAAACATTCTCTCTGTCATTCACACAAACAATATATTTACAGAATTGCAGCATGGAACCAAGGCGTACTTCTACAAAGTTACAAAATATTTCAACATTAAACTTATTTCTATCTACTACAAGGCCTTATCTAACACTAACATCACTATGTATTACAATATTCCATTCCTTCACTTTAACATGCTAACATCAAACAGAACTGGAGCTAAATTAAAGCTGCCTGGTCCTGTGTGAGGCCTATATCTTGTATTTAAGTTTAATCCAATCCTTTTGCTATAACATACATTTATTATAACTGACTTATTGCAAAATTCCATTCCAGTGCTACATTGTGAGAGACCTTGTAGACCTTGACTTTCAAAAAGTGTAGAACACAACTTACTGTGTGAAAATCCATGCCACTTCATGGTATTTCACAGTGAGGACCCAAAATCACTTGTTGGTGCTGAAAATAGAGTCCCCTATATTGAGTAGAAATACTTTGAACAGATAGCAAAAAAATGTGCTTGTTTTGTTTTCTTAGAGAATATACTTGGGATTTTTCCTAATTAAGCTGTTATGTACTGCAGCCATAGTTTTTCCTTTCTTTGGGTTGTTGTTAGGAGAATTGATGTATAATTGATTGATTAGCAAATGGTTCACCATGAACTTACTACTTGAGTAGGGATGTAAGCAACTAGTCAACTATCTGATAAGCCAAATCTTATCGGATAGTCAACACACTAGTCTCTTCAACCCCTTGCTGTCTCTATCAGAAAGAGGCAGCAAGCGGGGGAGGAGGGTAGGCAGAAGAGGATGCTGGGGGCTGGAGTCAGCTTAAAAACCGGGTCTCCCATTTGCACAAGCGGAGGGAAAGCCTTTGATACTTTTACTTGTTTGGATTCCTTCATCTTCTGGGATATGGTTTTTATGCTTGTATCGTATTTGTCTTTGTCCTAAATTCCTTGTAATATCCTCAGGGTAGGGACTATAGCTTTTATAGTAATAGTCTAAAGAATTGCTTTTCACATTAAGATTTGAGAACCTTGAAGCTGAGGGAGTGGGAATTAGGAATGTAAATTTTCGATTAATTAGCTAGTTGATAAGGGTACCTCCGCCTTTGAAGTGTAGCAACAGCCACGGGACTGTTGCTACACTTCAGAGGTGAAAGAGTTGGAGGGAGCATGGGGCCAGCGGGGGATTCAAGCAGTTCCCCACTAGTCCCGTGATCCTTCCGGCATTTCAAAGTGGCTGTGCCACATGGCTGCCGCCACGTGCAGCCTGGGCCAGCTGTGAACTCCCATCTGACCCTGGGCTGCATGCAGCATTTCAAAACAGTAACTCTGCTTGGAGCCTGGCGTCTGGCCCCAGGCTCCACATGGCGCTGCCACTTTGAAGCACCCCCTTCCTCTTTCCCAACCCCATTGCTGCCTCTTTCTGATAAGAGGCAGCAAGGAGTGGGGAAAGCGACTAGTTGTTCACATCCCTAGTGGTAATGTAAAGATTAATGAAATTATATCTTTTTTCCCAAAGCCGTGTGTGTCAGACATGCACTAATTAATATTTTGGAATTGCATATTTTAAATGATATAACTTACAGATTTCTCTCTGTAGTAAAAATAATTCTGTTTATATTTTTAATGCACATAGCATGCTTCTCAGAGTGCAGTTCTTCATACGCAGATGAATGGCTCTGATTAATCACTATAGCAATCATGAAGCAAAATGCAGGACAATTATCCCCAATTATCCCCAATTATCCCCAATTATCACCTGTAATACCATTAACTCACAAACATCCCACTCTCCCTACCTACAGTAACTCTGCTTGGAGCCTGGCGTCTGGCCCCAGGCTCCACATGGCGCTGCCACTTTGAAGCACCCCCTTCCTCTTTCCCAACCCCATTGCTGCCTCTTTCTGATAAGAGGCAGCAAGGAGTGGGGAAAGCGACTAGTTGTTCACATCCCTAGTGGTAATGTAAAGATTAATGAAATTATATCTTTTTTCCCAAAGCCGTGTGTGTCAGACATGCACTAATTAATATTTTGGAATTGCATATTTTAAATGATATAACTTACAGATTTCTCTCTGTAGTAAAAATAATTCTGTTTATATTTTTAATGCACATAGCATGCTTCTCAGAGTGCAGTTCTTCATACGCAGATGAATGGCTCTGATTAATCACTATAGCAATCATGTTTCTGAAGTGCTACAGCACACAACATTTGTGTATAAAATTTCAATTGTATTTTAAAATATATAATGTTGGCTTTTCTTGTGTATTTCTGTCATTTGCTGTTTGTATTTTAAGCTTCAAGGGAGGAGGGATGTTGAAAATAAAAAAATCTGAAAAAGACTATTTAAAGGGCTGGCTTTATGTGCTATAACATTGAATTTTCATTTATATTTAGATATTGCTTCTGCATTTGTGGCACCTGTGGATCTCCAAGCTTATCCAATGTATTGTACTGTTGTGGCATATCCCACAGATCTCAGTACCATTAAACAAAGACTGGAAAGCAGATTTTACAGGTTAGATCCAAGTCTCTGTTACTTCTATAAAGTAGTGACAGACAAACCTTTTTGCTTGTCTTTTTATAGGATAATATCTAACAGGAAGATTGAAATAGGTTGACTGTATCCATATCTCTCTCCATGCATTTATCTTTGAGCTAGGTATTCTTTTTATAAAATGTTGACCAGCTATTTTTCTTGGCTATGAATTTTAGAATATTCAAGGGGCTATTCCTGTAGTTGGCTCTGTGTGTGGGTCCAACCGCAGGATCAGAGCATATGTCTAAAAAGTGATTTTCAAAACAAAGTAGCTAGCTGTGAACAGTTGTTGTAAGTAGTTTTTTCTTCTTGTAGTTCAAGTTCCCTTAGTTAAGAGTGTCTCTAATGGGACTTAGCCTTGGAATAGGGCATGTCCCTATCTCCAGGGTTTAATAACTAGGACTGGAACAAAAAGCCCATGCTAGTCAGTGACCCTCCCTCCCATACTAGCTGCTTACAATGCCCGAGGGTTACTCACATTAGTGAAAGGTGTCACATTTGTAAAAGCTTCAAACTGCACACAAAAAAAGAGAGTAACATTATGCTAAAGGCACTCCTTATAGACTTGGCACTGGCGCCTGAATGGCCGGAGTCAGACTCTGCACACAGCATCACAACCTCAATGCAAAGTGCCCAGTTAGCACTGCCATTAGAACAGTGAAGATCTGCCTTCCCATGAAAAAAAGCCCAGAAGAGGACAGTCTTCTGCTTACTAAAGCAAGGACAGGCCTAGACTCGTAAAGAGCAGCTCATTGTTTCCAAGTGGGAGTTGTGTCCCAGGTTCAGTTGAGTGGGATAATCCTCCCAGGAATACATTTGCCACCTTGGTCTGCAGTATTAGAGTTCAGCACCTGGAAATGCATTCGACCTCGGAAGCCCTAAGAGCAGTGCAAGATGTGTTATCTTTCCCAGTGCCATCCACGCTGCTGATGGCAGCTCCGAATTCTCAGGATAAATCTACCCTTGGGACTGCTCCCTTGGTCTCCATCTGTGCTGTTCTGCTTGACACCTCAGAGAGCAGCCCACCAGAGCTTATCCAGTCAGAACCACCACACTCTGGGCACAGGGTTTGCCACGCATTTAAAGCCCCAGACACTGAACACCAGAGCTAGAGGGCCCTATACCAGCTTGAAGCATCTGTCACTGGCAAATGGGCCTGGCTTTCCTGAACTAGATTCTGCCCTGCAAATCTAGTTCTGTGGCCCGAAAGTCATCCATATGACAACAGTCGGAAGATCCCAGAATTCTTGGTACCAGTCTCCCTTTTCTATACGTAGATCACGGGTTCAGCATTGATTGCTGAAGTAGCGGTGCAGATCCGCCGAATGCAGCCACCACAGACTGGGATCTTGACACACTGGGTCATCGCTAACTTACAGATGCTACTCAGGGCAATGGGTTGGGCATGGTCAGTACAGGGACACTTGAGTCAGTCTCTGCACAGTCTTGTTCTCTAGAGCTTGGTTTTCCACCTCAGGCTCCCAGAGCAGACAAAGAGCCCTTGCAGGCAGGTCAAGGTTCTTCTTTAGTTACATCTGTTCCTCTATGTCAGTATATTTAGTCTGCATCATTGCGCTCAGTTGATCCATTTTGTGGATTTGTTGAAGCTATCAGTGCATCCAGCCACGAACATCTGCATATTTTTGGACTTTCTAATACAATATGAGGGCAAGGTCATAATCTGGGGCTGCTGCAACTCAGAGCCTGGTATTTGGGTGGCTATGAGGGATAGAATGCTCATGTTCCAAGAAGGTAATCTGTCTTTATCAACAGTAGAAAAGAGCTTATGAAAAGCTGTTACTCAATTGAATGGAAGATTTCCTCCACTTGGGTTCATCAGCACAGTTTTTCTCTAGAAAATGGTGGAATCCTTGACATATTAGAGTTATCTTTTTTTCATTAAGCCTTGCGTACAATTCCCTACAGTTGTATTTAGAAGCAATCAGTGCTTTCCATCCTTTAGTGGATAATGGTATGATCTCTCATGCACCACCACAACTAGATTTTTGAAGGAAATTCTTAGATCCTTTCCACCAGAGATAAAGTCCACCACCGTGGAACCTCATTTGTGTTCAGTTTTTTCTCTGAGCCTTACTTTGAGCCACTGGCTCCATGTTCTGTGATCCATCTGTCTATGAAGTTGGATTTTCTGATATCCAAAGGTTGGCCAGAAGAATCAATAAACTGGGAGCACATGTGGCCATAAGTCGTCTCCCTTTGATATTTCAGACACAACAAATCATGCATCTTAGACTAATGTCCCTTGCAGTCCCTTCTAACCTATGATTCTGTGGTGGGTCCACTATATACTATCTTCTATAAAGAAAAGGTCTTGCTATGTCCTCACTCGACTCATACATAAGGTGGTTTTTGAGTTTATAAGTCAGTGCATTCACTCTCATGTATTTTTTCCTAATCCATACGCCTTGGAAGAGGAGAGAAGACTGCATTCTCCTTTGGCCTTTTATCTACAGAGAATAAGGGACTTTACAAAGACACTTAAACTATTTGTTTGCATAGCAGAATGATTAAGAGATCCACCTACATCAGCACAGAGGATTTTGAAATGGATCTTGGGTTGTATTACTCTGTTACCCACTATCTGGCATCCCCCTGCCAGAAGGGGTGTAAAGGCTCAGTCCACCAGGAGCAAACTACCTCAGCTTAATCTCTCAGAGAGATACTCATAGTGATAGATGTAAGGCAGTGTAATGCAGTACAAACTTCACACTGGTCACTAGGGGTTGAGGAGCTGGTCTGGGCTCAGCCAACTCTACCCTGCCACACCTGCAAGAGATGAACAAACTGGAGGAGAAGATTAAAGGAAGCAGAAGAGCTCGCTTGAGGGCAGATAAGAGAAGAGCATAAACCTGCAACTTGCAGCTCCTGAGAAGAGCTGAGGGAAGGCAAGGTCTCTCCCTACAACTGCCCAAAGATCCCTCCCTGGTAGAAGGGAGGACCTGCTTCAGATACACTTCTAGAGGGAGGCATTCCTCAATCTCTTGTGTGGACTCAGTTTGTAATGATTCACTTAGTTTTGTTTATGGACTTCTCCAGCAAGGGTAAAACCTAGAACTGACCTGGTAGAGGGGTCAAGTCACAGGAGGCAGCCGCTGCTTTGAGAGAGAGTGACAGCCACACCATTCACGGTCACAAGGAGGTAAAAAGCAATGATCTGAGTTGAATAATGTTGGAGATAATATCCTTGTAGGAGGCCGTTCTTTGACTCTAAGCACTTGTTCTGTCACCAATATGCACTTGGAAATGGTGATTTTTTTTCAAACACATAGTCATTGCACATTAGGGATGTAAGCAAGTAGTTGACTGACTGCTAAGTCTAGGCTTATCTGTTAATCTAGTTGACTACTCACATTCCCATCCCCTTGCTGTATCAGATGCAGCGAGCGAGGGGAGCAGGAGCCAGTGCTGGGGGTCGGGATCCAGTTTAAAAAGCAGCAGCATGGGTGGGGGGGTGGGCGAGAGTGCCATGAAGCCTAGTGGATGGGGGTCCCAGCCGACGGGACTGCTGCCGGAGCAGCCTCTGTTCACAGTCAGCCCTGGCCATCATGGACAGAGGCTGCTTCACAGCAGCTTCCCCTGCTCCCTCCTCTCTCCCCCCAGAAGCCTCTGTCCACAGGGAACTTGGACCCCTGTGGACATGGATTGCTACCACCCTGTGCTGCTACCTCTATATCAGGGGCAGCAGGCAGCTGGTCTGCGTGGGGGGCTGGTTTTTAACCTGGTTCACCTCGTGGACTGGCTCCCGCCTGATACAGAGGCAACAGTCCAGGATGGCAGAGGGCTCCTTGGGAGTGGAGCTAGATTGCACTGGCTGCCACCTCTGCCCCCGGGGACTTTAGAATAGTGACTAACGGCTTAGAATTCATGCAGTTAGTCGACTATTCTATTACCTGATAGCTAACATCCCTATTGCACATACTAACTAACTTGTCATAGGTTTAGACTTTCACCATAATTCCCATATGCCAAACTGTATCTTATATTGCAGTCAGGTCAAGGAATACTTCCAGTTACAGCAGGGGTATGCAACAATTTTTCCCCGAGGGCCACTTCAAAAATTTTTGAAGTAGCCTTGGGCTACCACAGAAGGGGTGGGTGGAGCCTTAACAGAAGGGGCGGGGCTACCCCCCCCCCAGACTGTGATTGGTCTGGGGGTGGAGGAGCGCCTTTGCCCCCCTTCCCACTAGGCACCTATGCCCTAGAAGAGGGGGAGAGTGGAGGAGATTTCATGCCCTCCCCTGCTCCCAGGCCAATCAGGGCCTGGGCATGGGGGAGCACAGGAAGCCTCCTACCACCCTGCAAGGAGCATGTGGCACTTTGAAGTGCTGTGGCTCTTCTTAGGGCCAGGGCAGGACGAAGGAAGCTTCACGCAGCTCCCCTGCCCCCAGACCCTGATTAGCCTGGGGGCAGGGGAAGGCACGAAACCACCTCCACACTCCTCCGCGCCCTCCGAGCAGTGCACAGTGCTTCAAAGTGCCACGTGCTCCTGGCAGAGTGGGAGGAGGCTTCGCAAGCCCCCCCTCCCTTACTTGGCCTGGGGGAGCAGCAGGGCCTCCGCAGGCCAGATCCACCCACTTAGTGGGCCAATCTGGCCCACAGAGGCCCTTTTGCCTGCCCCGGAGTTACAGGTAAGTAACCTCCATTTTCTTTATATTTTGCTTTCTTGTAAGATTTCAAGTTTTCTGCCACAGTGGTTCCACATGTTTACTGCATCTTCCCTTTTATTTTATTACATTGTAGAATTGAGTACCATGTCCTCACAGAGCACATTGATATACTCATCTTAGTGTGCATATGCACAAAATTTAATATAATACTAGGTCTTCCAGCACATTCTGGTTTCTTAACTATTGGGGGAGGGAGATTAGGACATGTTTCTTAGAAATTTCTTCCATTGTGCTTTGCAATTGCAAAATAAATAGAAGGTTGGTCCTATTCTCAATTTCCATACTACTAGTTTAAAATAGGGGATATCCTCATTTTTTTGACAATCACACAACATGGAAAATATTAATAGTTGCATCAGTTTTTAAAAATGTTTTTATCTGTGTCATGACTGCAAGTGAGGACTACTGTTGTATAACTGGGAGGCTGTATTTATCAGAGCTAATCTGTGGGGTGAGGAGAACTAGCTATTACACTAGGACTCTGCCAATCAGAGGAAACATTTTGTCCCCCTTAACTATCAGCTTTAGGAGAGCGTGGACCAGGCCTGGGCAACAGAGGAGACTTTTATAGATAGCCAGCTGAGCTGCTTGGGAAGCCCTATGAGGCATCTCTTGATTGACTAGCAGTGAGGGTCTCAAACCTTTCCCCCCTTCATTCACCAGGCATATACCCTCCCCGCATACAGCAGACACATGTGTAAGAGCAGAAGCAAGAAAAAACTGCTTGTTGTTGTCCAGGTATAGCGGACATGTAATTTTTGGCTATTTCCTTTTTAAACTGCTTGGAAGAAGATAGGGGAGGCTGTTTAAAAATGTTAACACAGATATTAAAATATGTAACTGTTCAGTGTCATCTGTTTCTTTTTTACCTTCCCCACAAAGGCGGCTTTCTTCACTTATGTGGGAAGTTCGGTACATAGAACATAATACACGCACATTCAATGAACCAGGAAGCCCTATTGTTAAATCTGCCAAATTCGTTACAGATCTTCTGCTACACTTCATAAAGTAAGTTGATGAACAGATATGATATATATTTTCGTTCTATTGTGTAACAATAATAAAAAGTGACTAATCTGTAATTTGGCATGTGAGGATGCGTTTACACTGCACCCTACATTCAAAATAAGAGACACAATTTTGATTTAATTTCAGAATAATCTGTTTCAAAATTTGGCATCTATATGGTACCAAATTTCAAAACAACACACTATTTCAAGACATCCCTTATCCCTCATGGAACGAGGAATACAGGGATGTCAAAATAGCACATCCGCTGTATTTCACAATAGCAGATGTGTTCAAAAGATGCAGGGTAGCTATTTTAGGAGACCTCTTGTATCCCAAAATAGCCTTGCAGTGTAGACATACCCTTAGTGTGAGCATGCCATCCATCTATTTTACTGAAGGTCAGAAGTACAAAATATTTGTTTAGAAAGGTGGGGGGGGGGATTGAAAAACATGTCAACTACTACAAAATAGGATTAAGTTTAATGCATTGGAATTTATAAAACAAAATTCAGAAACAAGGAATTGAATGATGACAACTTAGAAGTTTAATCTGAACTTGACATCCTCTACTGTACTAATGTATCTAGGTCTATCTAGTCATTCTACCTCATTCTGTGGAGAGATTAGATCTGTGGTCACCAACCCTTCAATCGCAATCAGCTGGTGGATTTTTGGGGGCATGATCAGTCGATCGCAAGGCCCCTCTCCAACCCCAAGAAGGAGCCCATGCTGGTGCTACCTCCTGGGAAAATGGAGGTAGTGCTGGCATCCTTGCCGTATGAGGCGGGAAGTCCCTGGCTGTATGCCAGATCCAGCGTCTCAGCAAGCGCACAGGCTGCTCCTCTCCTCCCCTTCCCAAAATAGCCGGCATGCTTCCAGAAAAGCCAGATCTGGCACACAGCTGGGAACTTCCTTCTCCGTGCTGCCTGCCTTCCTTCCGTCCTGCGCCAGGGGGCAAGGGGAGAAGTACCTGGCTGCGCGCCAGCTCCAACTTCTCAGGAAGTGCCCCGGCTGTTTCGGGGATGGCAGGAGAGGAACAGCGCGTGCACTTTCTGAGAAGTCAGAGCTGGCGCACAGCTACGGGACCTCCCCGCCCCCTTCTCCTCCATGCAGGAAGAATGGAAGGAAGTCCCTGGCTGTGTACCAGATCCAACTTCTTAGGAAGTGCGCCAGCTATTTTGGGGAGGGGAGGAGCTACAGATGCTGCAGGATCCAACTGTCCCTGTCCTCCCTCCCCCCCCTTACTCATTCCCACCCCAGAGCCTGCACTTCCTGTCTCGACCCAGTGAGAGTGAGTAAGGGCTGGGGACAGCAAATGATGGAGAGGAGGGGAACAGAGAGGGGTGGGGCCTCAAGGAACGAGTGGAGTCTTGGGGAAGGGATGGGGGTAAGGACAGCTGGGCCAGTACCTGGGGATCTTGGCTTGTCCTGACATTTAAAAAGTGATCTTGGGTGTAAAAAGGTTAGTGTCCACTGGACTAGATCAAAGAGCGAAGGAACTTACCATTGTTTGGCAGCAAGGTCCACACTAAAACTTAGTATGCAGCAGGCGAGTGAGTGCCAAATAGATTTACATCCCAGTTTGTCACCAGCTAAATATTTGTGTAGAGAAGTCCTTAGACTGGGGACGGAGAATAATTTTTGATTAGGGGCTACTCCAAGATTTTGGAAAGTGGTTGAGGGCCTGCACTCTTCCATGATATTAATGGAGGAGATGTGGGGTCTGGGAAGGAGGTTGGGTGCAGAAGGGAGTTTGGGGTAAGGGATTAAGAACATAAGAATGGCCATACTGGGTCAGACCAACAGTCCATCTAGCCCAGTATCCTGTCTGCTGACAGCGGCCAATACCAGATGCCCCAGAGGGAAGGAACACAACAAGTAATCCTCTTGTGATCCCTCCCCTGTCACCCATTTCCAGATTGGGGTGCAGGAAGGCCTGAGGTCGGGGAGGGAGTTTGGATGAAGGAGGCAGTTATGACTGGGACACAGGATTGCGATGCAGAGGTTTGGGTTGTGACCTAGAGCAGGAGGGGATTGTGATCTGGGGCAAGGTATTGGGGTGCCAGATCTGGGAGAGAGTAAGGGCTCAGGAGGGGGGAAGAGGATTTAGCTTATGAAGGGTGGTGGGGTAGGAGTGGGAGGACAGATGGTTTAGGGGAGAGAGGGGCTGTGGTACCAGAGGCAGGTTCTGGCTAGGAGACTTACTTGGGTGACTCCCAGCCAGAAGCCCAGCACATTTCATAGGCAGATTTCTTGCCTGCCCTGTCCCTGCACAGGCTGCAGGGACCATGTGCATCTATGAATAAGAGCCTGAGAGGAGGGCGAAGTGGTGCTTTGTGTGTTGCCTGTTCTTCAAACAGGCAGCTCCCATTGGCTAGAAACAGGCCAATGGGATTGTGCTGGGGGTGGGAGCAGACTGTCCCCTCTCCCCTCCCCCCCCCCCCCCCCCCACACCACAACACAACAAATACAAATGGCCTGGCAGCTGCTTTACTGAGCCGCATGTGGAGAGCCAAGTCAAGCAAGGGAGTTTGAGGCTCCCTGCTGCGTCTGTGGGCCGGATCTGGTGGCTGGGCAGTGGGAATGCAGCCTGCGCACCCTGTTTTGTCCAGCCCTGCCTTAGACACATAATGTAAGCACTGTTTGGTTCTTACAACACAGAAATGCTTACACAGTTTTTGTTTCATTTTAAAAGCTACACACAGGGTATATTCTACTCTGCAGGTGAACAGCCCTTAGCCCAGGTTGGCTGATTTAGGACAGCCACAAGTTTTTAATTGCATTATAGACATGCCCATCCTTAGTCATAGAACTCAAATTGAATTGGGGGCAAGGCAGATGCCTGATAGCATTGGTGAATCAGAGTGAATTATGTAAGACCATCCCCCATAAGCCACTTACATAAAAATAACAGTGGGAGTTGAAAAACAAGATCTTTTAAAAATTATGGTAAGAGATATTGTATGTAATCCCATATACGTCCTTCATGAGAGGAGTCCTGCTGATGTCCAAAATATGCAATTTTGATTTGGCCAGCAATGGCAAAACAAGTACATGTAACCAACTCCAAACCAATATCTTGGATTTGAACAGGCACCCGTCTCCTCCTTCAGCTTGATATCATATAAAAATCATCCCTTCTTCAGTTTTGGATACATTCTTATACCGTGCTCATTAACATAGTATATAAGCACCTTCTATTTGTGCATTAAGAAACATGAATAAACATCTGTAGACTGTCGTGTGTTGTTTGTTCTCTCATCGATTCTCCAGGCAGAGAAGTGTGCATTGTAGCACACTTGTTTTGGTAGGGTTGTGGGTTTTTTCATCTTTTTGTCTTGCTGGAATTGGTCCTGCTCAGTCCTGTCTTGTTCTTCATTCAGTTTCATATAGTTGTTCGCTCACTGTTTGATCTCTTCTGGTAAATCTAATTTCCATTCCTTTATTTCTCAAACTGGGGGGGGCTCTTCACTCCCTTCCAGTGTTAGACTAGCAGCTGCCTCCATTTGGGAGAGAAGCTGCCACTTCGAGTTGAAGCATAGTCTTCCCACCCTGCAATACCAGGCTCCCCCAAAGGAGGGAATATGGCAATGACCCAGGTACTTTCCAATGGGAGTCAACAATATAAATCCTCAGGTACTAATAAGGGCTAGTAGTATCGCCTCTGTCCTCGGCTAGAGAAGCTTCTCCGCTGCCTGGCATGGAGGAGGATATCCTACTCTCACAAAACTAAGAGAGTGCTGAGACTCCTGCTGCCCAAAGCCTTTGCATCTCTTCTCCCTAACACCTGACTTAGTACACACACACATTCTAAATTGGTTAAAGGCCAATCTATACATAATATTCCTAACACAACAGCAAGGAAATTGTTTTAAGACATCAGCAGTATATACCCTCTATTCTTTTACCCACAGAGACCACCCAATATACCTCATTATTTTCCTGTATAACGCAAATTCCCCTAAATTAGCAAAAGCCATTCCCCATGTACCATGTTAGCCCTCATTTGCAGATGCAAGGAACATTACTGGAGATGTATGACAAAAGGGAGTGTTGTATTCCTTTCTTAAGGTGTTGCAAAAGGTTTGCACATAGAGAATGGGGATAGCAATTATATTCATATTCTCTGGTAACTGCTGATCATAAGCATTCGGTTATCAATAACTTATTTTTATTATTAAAATAATATGTCAGAGGGACCTTCAGACTTTCATTGTGTACTCCTTTCTGACTTTCAACAATATGTTGTTGAAACTGGAAAGGTCCAAAAAATTGTGAAACTTGTGAATTGTCTTAAAGCTAATTTTCTACTGCTTGAACTCAGATTCACAGATTTACTTGAAAATTCCCAGAAAATTAAGGCTTTACTCAGATTATGTGCTGAAACTTTGGGGCAGAAACATGGTGCATTACCTCTACTATATATACCTATAGAATGGGGAACACTATCTTGGGAAGCGGTGACTCTGAAAAAGTCTCGGAAGCTATGGTAACATCATATGAGATCCTAGTGTGACACTGTGGCCAAAATGGCAAGTGCAGTCCTTTGATGAATAAACAGGGAAACCTTGAGTGGGAGAAGAAAGGTTATATTATTTCTGTATTTGGTACTGGAGTGATTGCTGCTGGAATTCTGTGTCCATTTCTACTGTCCACAGTTCAAGAAGGAGAGGGTTCAAAGAGGAACCACGAGAATTATTAAAGGGTTAGAAAATATTCCTTATAATGGTAGATTAAAGGAGCTCAGTCTATTTATTTTAACAGAAAAGTTAAAACGGGTGACTTGATCACAGTCTGCAGGTATGTATCTAGAGAAAAAATATTTGATATTCACATTTCAGTTTAGCAGATGAAATTTCTATTGCTAGAAGTTGAAGTTAAACAAATTTCAGTGAGAAACAAGGCACCAATGTAGCAAAGAATACTATTGGAATAACTTACTTAGAGTCATGGTGGATTCTCCATGAGTGACAATTTTTAAATCAAAATTGTTTATTTTGCTAGTTCAAAGGGAAACCAATTCAGAGTAGGGATGTTAAATATTGATTAATTGACTAGTCAAGTAACCTCATGAATTCTTATTGGTTAGTCAACTATTCTACAGTTCCCCGGGGCGGGGCCAGCAGTCAGTGTGCCCGGGCCCCACCCCTGAGGAGCCTCCTGCAACTTTGTATCAGGTGGAAGCTCGTACATGAGGGGAGCCAGTTTAAAAAACATCTCCGCTCATGGACTGGCTGTCTGTTGCCCTGTGCTGCTGCCTCTGATAAAGAGGCAACATCATATGGTGGCAGCAGCCCCTGTCTGGAGGGTAGGTGTCTGAGCTCCTGGACCAGACACAAGCCGAAACTGAGCCAGGCTTGCTGGCCAGCCTGCTAAATAATTTACTGGTGTGTGAGGGGAGGGAAATGTGTGTAGTCTATAGCATTAACTGATAAGCCTTTGCTTATCGGTTAATTGACTACACTATTACATCCCTAATTCAGAGTAGGGATGTAAGCAACTGGTTGAATAGTTAACTACTCAGTAAGCCTAGGTTTATCAGGTAGTCGAGTCGACTTCTCTCTCCCACCGCCTTGCTGCCTCTGTATCAGAGGTAGCAAGGGGAAGCAGGAGCTGGCTTAAAAGCCGGTTCCCCTGAGCACTGTCTCTGCAGTATGGGCCCTCCTCCTTCCCCCCCCCCCCCCCCGACTATGCAAATGAGTGTGAGAAATGCTAATGAGTGCTTCATTTGCATTTCCTCTTCCGCAAGAAAGATGCGGTATAGATGGAGCCTAACGTAAGTGAATGTTTAAGAAATTTCCTCTCATTTGAGGTAACTGGTTTAGTATAGTGTTGTCTTCCCAAATTATTCAGGACCCTAGAACCAGCATTTAATTTTGGTCAAACTAAATCATACAGTGTCCTAAACAATCACATATATTAGCACACTTCAAACAGTAATGTTGGAAAAATAAACATTACCAAAACAAAAATATATTAACATTTTTTTAAAAATATAGCTTTAGATTATGCTCAAAGCTTTTGTATTCTAAGAGTTTACATATCAAAGTAATGTACTTAGCATAAAGTCTAGAATTTTTATAACTGATTATTTTATGCTGCAAGAGTGACATTTTTTCATTTAAAAGCATCTGTTACTGTAAAATAATTAAGCTTGGCAGGTGTAGGTTTTATCAGTAAATGTAGATTTCACCATACATATACAACAAAAGTAATTCCACTGATAAGTAACATTTGCAACTAAAGCAAAGTAAGAAAAATGCTGCTTGATAACTTCTTTGATTTTTGTACAAAAGGATAGTTGATGTGTTCTGAAATGTAACATTAACTTGTGTTTGAACGCTTATAAAGTTTTCAATTTTTGAATCTCACATCTATTTATCATTCAGCAGTTATTGCCTGATCTCCCCATAGTTTCCTGTAATTGTAAACATTTAAATAGATAATAATAGAAAAAGTGCTTACAATTAAACATTGATGTTAGACATTATAAAAAATATCATTATGTAAAGCCTAAACATCACGTTAACTTTTCATGTATTTTAAGAAATTTAGATAATCAGATTTTTTGAAGTTCCTTACAACATGAGAGTAATAAACTAACTTTTTATTGCTGTGTTCCTAGTTATAATTCATATGGCATTAATCTTGGTAATGTATGTCTGGAAAAAATTTATTCAGCCTCTAAGAACAAGTTGATAATACACAAAAGGATGCAAATATACACCTGTTAACATACAGTATTTCTTATTTTACAGAGACCAGGCATGCTACGATATAATTCCATTATATAATACAATGAAGAAGAAAGTCTTGTCTGATTCTGATGAGGTAATTTAATGAAATACCATATGCATATTGAAAATCCACTTTGATTTTTTTATTCAGTTTGAAAAATAATCATTTAATGTGACAATATCTAAGAGTAACCACAATAGGAGGACTTAGAATTTCTTGCTATGAAGGCAGTATATTCAACCCATTTTAAGAGGCTAGAGGGTACCCTATACCACGTAGCTGTATTCCTTCTAGACACATGGTATCCAACATGCTAGCCACTAGCCACATGTGACTGGTTGGTTGGTTGAGTGTGGCTATTAGGCTTGAAAAGTGTGGCTAGTTGGCTGGTTGAGTGTGACACGTTCTCTGTAGCAGTAGCCACTATAGTAGAACTGGTTGGACACTATAGTTCTAGACAGTTGAGGAATAGTGGGTGAAATTTTCCCCATCCTCCAATTCATAGGGCTTACATGGTAACTTTGTGCACACTGTCTATATGAAGGTGAATTTCACTTAATATATAAAAACTCAGAAGTCCAAAAGTATTAAAATATATGGTGGTCATCGTGTTCCAGAAATTTGAGGGTTACGGAGAAAAATGTGATAGGAAAAAAACTGGAAGATTCTTCAAAGGGACAGGGATAGAATTACACAGAACTGAAAAAAATAAGTACACTTTGTAGAACACATTCTGAAACATGCTTATATGTTAACATTAGACTACTCATATTTTCTTGCTCAAAGGAAGAAGAGAAAGATACAAATGTACCAGGAACGTCCACTAGAAAAAGGAAGGTAATAATTGCCCTTACTTGCTTCAAAGATTGAGATCACTGTAAATAGCACCAAAAAAGGCATATGCAAGAAAAAGAATCATTAAAAACTGAAATGCTTTAGGATGATATCTAGTCTTCAAAATACTGTATACCTCTCCCCCACCCCCCCCCATGAATCAACTTCACAGTAGTAACTTTCTTTATTAGCTGTAATTTTGAAAACATTTCTCTACCTGTTCCATCAAGTATTTCTGGTTTGCTAATAATGATTTACACCTTTTATTACTTTGATTTAATCACTTCAGTCTAATTTGTGAAAACAGCTAGTGACTATTCTATATTAATAAGCCTATTTCCATTACAGGATCATCAACCCAAGCGAAGGCTGCGCAACAGAGCACAGTCATATGATGTTCAGGCATGGAAGAGACAATGCCAGGAGTTGTTGAATCTTATTTTTCAGTGCGAGGACTCAGAACCTTTTCGTCAACCAGTGGATCTCCTTGAATATCCAGTGAGTATTTTAATGGGAGCAAGGCTGGTCATAGTTTTCATTCTTGTGATGAGGAGGAATTGCAGCTTTCTTTTTCAACAGTATTTTTTTTTTTATTTGCTGTAGTGGTTTTAGTATTGTCTAGGAAATCTGACTCTGTTTCTGAAGCTTTGGTCATCTAGAATAATGAAGATAAACTTATTTATTTGAAAGTTCATGATCATGCATGCTTCTCAGATAATTATGTAGTTATATTTTTACCAAAGCAAAATGTTTATTAATTATCATTTTTTTACATTGTGCTTATGAGATCCTTTTTTCAGTAGCTTAGGGTATGTCTACACTAGCCCCCTAGTTCGAACTAGGGTGGCTAATGTAGGCATATTGTAGGGATATTTAAATCCCGGGCTTCATTTGCAAGTTCAAATGCCTACATTAGCCACCCTAGTTCGAACTAGGGGGCTAGTGTAGACATACCCTCATATCCTAGCCAAACTCTCTCTGTTGTGGCTCGAATTTCCATACCTGTTGTCTGTTTTACGCTGAGTTACTTTTGATAGTTTCACTGGGAGAAATGGTTATTCCTGAGAATGAGCTGTAGGAAAAATAGCATGTTTGGCAGGTTAGGGTCATAGAAGACTAGCAGTGAAAGAGACCTCAGAAGGTCATATAGTCTAGTTCCCTGCTCAAAGCAGGACCAACCCCAACTAAATCTGCCAGCCAGGGCTTTGTCAGTCTTGGCCTTAAAAACCTCGTAAGGATGGAGATTACATCACCTCCCCAGGCAATCAATTCCTGTGCTTTCACCATTGTCCTAGGGAAGCAGTTTTTTCTTGTATCCAACCTAGACCTCTTACACTGCAACTTGAGCTTCTTCAGTCATTCGCCACTACTGAAAATAGCCTAGCTCTATCCTCTTTGGAGCCCCCTTTCAGGTAGTTGAAGGCTGCTATCAGATCCCCCCCTCACTCTTCTCTCCTGCAGAATAAATAAGTCCAGTTCCCTCAGCCCCCGAGTCATTTTTGTTATCTTCTGCTAGACACTCTCCAATTTGTCCACAAATTGGGGGCCCCAAACTAGATACAATACTCCAAATGTGGCCTTACCAGTGCTGATTAGAGGGGAATAATCACTTCCCTAGATCTGCTGGCAATGCTCGTACTAATGCAGCCCAATATGCCATTAGCCTTCTTGGCAGCAAAGGCATACTGTTGACTTATATCCGTCCTTTCATCTATGGTAATCCGCAGGTCCTTTTGTGCAGAACTGCTGCCTACCCAGTTGGCCCTTAGGCTGTAGCAGTTCATGGGATTCGGTCAACCTAAGTGCAGGACTTTGTCCTTGTTGAAACTCATCCAATTTCTTTTGGCCCAATCCTCCAAGTTGTCAAGATCACTCTGGGACCCTATCCCTACCCTCCAGCATATCTGTCTCTCCCCCCACCTTAGTGTCATCTGCCAACTTGCTGAGGGTGCAGTCCATTCCACCATCCAGATCATTAATGAAAATGTTGAACAAAACCAGAGGTAGGCAATAATTTTTGAAGGGCTGGCCACTTCAGAAATTTTCAAAGTGGTTGTGGGCTGCCCTGAAAGAGGCGGGGCCTTTAAATAACAGAAGTTGAAAGGGCTTGCACCACCCCTGTGACTCCCAGGGAATGTGTTAGCAAGGGGTGGGAGTTGCAAGCCTTTGAGCCTTTTCAACTCCTGCTCTTTTAAGGGTTCCCACCTTAGCAGCTGCCTGGAATGCGTGAGCCCTTTCAATAGAAGCAGTTGAAAGGGCTTGTATCTTCCAGCCCCACTTCTGATGCATTGCTTAGGAGCCGCCAGGGAGGTCTGAGCCCTTTCATCTCCTCCTATATAAAGGGCTTGCACCTGCCGGGTGGCTGCTACCATGTTGCCTGTCAGCTGCCCAGAAGACATAAGCCTATTAAATAGAAGCAGTTGAAAGGGCTCATGGCCTCACTAATGTGTTTCCTGGGAGCTGCTGGGGAGGCACTAGCCATTTCAAATGCTTCTATTTAAACAGCTTGCACCTGCCTGACAGCTGCAGGGAAGGTGTAAGCCCTTTAAATAGAAGCAGTTGAAAGGGTTTGCACCTCCCAAGCAACACTTTAGAGAGCGGGGCTGGGAGCTGCCACATGGGTCAGATGGAAGAGCTTGGCAGGCCGGATACAGCTGCCTGACACAGGCTCTTGGCCAGCCTTGCCCAAGACCAACCCATAGGGCGCTCCACTTGATATCAGCTGCCAACTAGATATTGATTGCTTGATCAATACCCATTGAGTCTGACGATATAGCTAACTTTCTCTCCACCTAATAGTCCATTCATCCAAGCCATACTACTTTAACTTGCTGGCAAAAATACTATGGAAGAGCATAGCAAAAGCTTTGTACAGGCAGTCCCCGGGTTACGTACAAGATAGGGACTATAGGTTTGTTCTTAAGTTGAATTTGTATGTAAGTCGGAACTGGCTCCAGATTCAGCCGCTGCTGAAACTGGTCAGCGGCTGACTACAGGAAGCCCTAGGCAGAGTTGCTCTGCCCCCTGCTTCCTGGAATCAGCTGCTGATCAGTTTCAACAGTGGCTGAATCTGGACTCCTGGGACAGAACAGCTGGGGCACTGCCGGGTAGGTCCTCGCAGGACCAACCCGGCAGCACCCCAGCTGCTCTACCCCAGGCGTCCCGCAACAAAAGCCTGGTCTGCTGGGGGAGGGGGGGGGG